GATTTTGGAGATTCATCTTCTGTCCGACAACCTAGTCTCTTCCTGACAACAAAAACTCTCATCTAAAGGTCGACAGTCAACAACCAGACCAAAACAACCAATTGACAATCTCAAATTGACTGAAGATTAACAGGAGCTAATTGACAATCCCCAACTCAACATAATTGGATGATTAGGCCTTGTTGAACCAATGCCCGCTAATGTCAGCCAACCAAGCAATAGAAGAGCCCAACCATAGACTCATTTCGTGTAAATACCCCAAAATACACTGAAATGCTCTCATTAAAATAGGGATACGATTGTAATTATACATATTGCATCCTCTATGTCCATTTTCATCGGGTGTCTCCCAGACAGATTCAAATTCAACAGTTAGTATTACAAAACAAAATTTAATGACATTTTGAGACCACTTTAAATTTTTTTTCTTTGAGGTGGGTGGTTGTTCTTAAAACCAATCAAAACAAGTTTAAAAGGTATTTTGAGTGATTTTAAAAACAAATTAATTTATTTTTAAAACAAAAAAAATAAAAACACTTAAAATGCATCAAACAAGGATATTCTAATAAATAAATAAATAAATAAAAACAAAAAATAAAAAATAATCCAAAACAACCCCTTAGATTTCAAAATATGCCATAAGTTGATATTTTTGTTAAAAACCTAAAAGCCTTAGTTGACTTAATTATAATCAAAGAATAAAAATTATAGGACTGTTTTGGACAAATATGATAAAATTAAGAAATAAAAACTCAAGTTTAGATGAAATCAGAGGCTGAGAATGTAGCCATCAAAATTCAATCAAAAGGAAAAAAAAAATTGTTTGAGATGACCTGCTGATAGCGATTGTTCAAAAGCGATGGTGCTATAATGGTGATGAACAAAAAGTGTAAGTCTAAAAATGGTGTGCTGTGGTGGTGATTAGATGGTGTTAGACAGGCAATGATAGTCTAAGAAATATGGGCAAGCAATAATTGTTGTTTAGAGAATGTTGTTAGAGCCATCAATGATCGACTCTCATATCTTAAAGTTGAGAGTATAGAAGAATGGTGCACAATCATTTTGGATTTTGAACAGGAAGCCACCATGTTCAAGAGATTCCTCTAAACATAAAATACAGTCATAATCCAAATCATAATCAAATGATGGGACTAGTGTGCCTAAGGTAGCAATAAAGACAAGTATGACAGCTGATCTGAAGGGTGATGAGGTCTATGATAAATGATAACTACAAGTGAAATAATGTAAAGAAGATAGTAAGATTAGAGAATACATAATAATTGAAGAGATAATAACAGAATGTTGAATACAAATTTAAGCCAAGAAAAGGATGACTTTAGTTACAACTGAAGGCTAAGGTACACTTTTCATAAATAATGGAAAAATGTTGTAGTCGTACTAGTAATGTCAAATATCACTGGTCCTCAAAGTAAGGATTCTTGCGGAAGTGTCAATTTAATTCCCAAACTTTTTTAGTCTGAGTTCAAATAGTCTTTCTGAAAGACCATTCCAGCCCCAATTTAAGAGTCTGGAGAGTAATTTGACAATTCTATAAACTATGTGGCTAAAACAGTATTATGCAAACAGAAAAAGGATTATTTTGACGCTTTACTAAGAAAATCAACTAATCAAGAAACATGTCAAAAAGCATGATATCATAACTTTCAGCTAAATTTTTTAAAAAAATCAAAATTGATACCCTAAAGTTAGTGAATCAATCAGGTGTTTATGATGATCTGCCTGAGTTGCCATGCCCACGAGTACATCATCCCAACGGCACAATAGACAGAAATCAGCATCAGAGGAAGAAAGGGAAATCTGCTACCATAAATGTAAGGGTGAAGAAACTGGCCCCAAATTTCAACGCACAAAAACCCTAGAAGATAACAGGCAGCAACGGGTCCAACTAAACCGCTTCCATTGCCAGATCCTTCAACTTTCTTTCTCTCTGGTCGTTTAGTAGCTTTTCTAAAATGGGAAGAAAAGCTCACGAACATGAGGACTGAGGACATGACCAGTAACAGAACTTTTATTGGATACTCCTGAGGCTCAAACAACAGTGGGAACATGGAGTAGCAGGACACTGCAATCACAGAAATAAATCAAAACAAAATGTTACAAAAAGGATTATTTTTCATCATTTATGATTATAAAATGACATGCAATGTAATTGCTTCTTAAAAAAGTAAGAGATGCGTGGAGCTGGTTTGAGAATGATATGAGATAATGCTTAGGCATTTATATATGTAACACCTAAAGTTTTATATTTATTATAATACCTTGTTATTAATAACTTTTGCATGAAAAGGTGTATTTCACTATTAAGAAGTTAGTAGAGTGGTATTTCTGATGTGATGTCAAAGATTTGAGTGTTATGTCAATAAATATGAAAGTTTAGGTGTTAGATATTAAAAAATATAAGAATTGTGTAAAACTATAAGGTGTATTTCACTTTTGAATGACCAAGACAATTGTCATTAATGCCAATTCATATATTGATTTTAGCCTCACCCTGACCATAAGAACCTGGCTGAAGTAGGCAATTGGTCGTTGATCTAGCATAAGTGCTGCTCCGAATCCATACCCTGACACATCCGTTTCCATTACAAACGATTTACTGAAATCTGGAAGTGCTAGTATCAGGACACTAGTCATGGCACTCTTTAGATGCTTGCGTCGCTGATCCCCCCATTTGAAATTATCTTTCTTCAACTACTCCGTCAGAGGTCATGCTATCGTGTTATGTCATCTCATGAACTTCTGGTAGTAGTCGGTGAGACTCAGGAATCCTCTCAAGTCCTTCAAATTTCTTAGTAAGGGGTCAATCAACCACAACCTCTATCTTGGATTAATCCACTGCTACTACTGTTCTGGTCACCACATGTCCTAGGTACTTCACTTGTAATTGTGCAAAAGAACATTTCATCAAGTTGGCATACAACTGGTGCTTCTTCAATGTCTCTGTCCTCAGATGCCCTGCATGGTCTATCTCTGTATGACTGTAGACCATAATGTCATTAAAGAAAACCACGACAAATTTCTAAAAATAAGGTTGAAAAACCCTATTCATAAGGATTGAAATGTCGTTGGGGCATTGGTGAGGCCAAACGGCATCACTAAGAACTCATAATGTACGGAAGGCATCACTAAGAACTCATAAACTCATAATGTACGGAATGTTGTTTTGTGCACATTCGTCGAATTCTTTTGAATTGGTGGTACCCTGACTTAAAATCAATTTTAAAGAAAAAGACTGCTCCATAAAGCTCATCCAATAATTCATCAGTCACAGGAATATAAAATTAGTCCTACAGTTTCCTTGTTCAAAGTACATTAGTCCACGCAGAATCTTCTACCACCATCTTTTTTCTTCACCAACAGGACGGGACTGGAAAAATGGCTCACTTTACGCCTAATAAACCTAGCCTCAAGCACCTCTCAGATCATCTTCTCTATCTCATCTTTTTGAATCTGGGTATCTGTATGATCTGACGATGTAAGGAGAAAACCCCTCCTTCAATGTAATAGCGTGTTCGTGCTTCCACGAAGGAGGTAACTCGCTTGACCGTTGGAATAAATCCGTAAAATATTGTAGGAGTTGCTGAACCCCTTTCGGAAACTCCGCCAACTTTGAATCTTGAATCTCCTCAATGCTTTGCAACTCCACTAAGTAGCCCAATCTAGCTCCCCGAATCAACTTGACAATGATTATAAGCAACACCAAGGTTTTGCATAAACTAGCATCTTCTCTCAGCATCACCTTCTTCTTCTCCACTTGGAACTCCATCGTCAAGGACTTTCAATCCACCTTCATCTCCCCCAATGTACGAAGCACTTCATCCCCAAAATTACATCTGTGCTGCACAGTTCTAAAGGATGTATAAACTGCTTGTTGGTCATGCAGTCTTAGAACCAACTCCTTGCAAATTCCCTGGTTTTTCTCCACCTTCCCTATCCCCATCAAGACGTCGAAGCTCTCTATGGTCACCAGCTCCAACCATAGCTTCTTCACAACCTGATTTGAGATGAAATTATGTGTTGCCCCGCTATTTACAAACACCACAATCGGCTGCTCCCCAATCCGCCCCATCACCTTCATGGTGTGATTTGGGGTAAATCCCACCACCGAATTGAGAGACACCTCCGCCACATTCATCAAATGCAGATGCTCCTCTGCTCCTCCACTATATCCTTTTCTGATTCCCCACTCTCTATCATCCTCCTGAATTAAAAGAATCAGAAGGACGCGCTCCATGCAAAGGTGTTTTGGAGTGTATTTCTCATCACAAATGTAACATAGTCTTTTTGCTCTTTTATCATGCACTTCTGCATCTGTGAAGAGCTTAAAATTACCCCCGGGACGAGGTCTTGTACTTTTCTCCTTCAGCGTCTCTTTTTGAAATTACACCATCTGGGTCCTCGATGTTGTGGCTGCCAAGGTGCTATTATAAAAACCTCCAGTGTTGCCACTTTTGCTGGTCTTCTTAACATATTTCTTATCCTCCATCATCTGGGCGAGGTTCATCATTTCCCTAAATCCTCCCGCTCTCAAAGGGCAGATGGTTGATGGTATGTCAGGCTTTCAGCCCTTCAAGAATTTTCTTTCCAATCTTGTTGCAAATACTCTGTAATCATCCCCTCCTGAGTCAAAGCATATGCTTATGTCTTCTTCCCGAATGGCTTGGAAACGTTCCAACAAACAATCTTTAAACTCTTCCCATGAGCGCATCAAATATCTTGGCCCCATCCACCGAAACCACACTAAAACCTTTCCCTCCAAGCATAATCTCGTTGTCAAGAGCTTCTCTTCCCCTGTCAACCCATGGATCGCAAAGTATCGTTCCACCTGATACACCCGCCCATGTGCATCCTCCCCTTCGAAGATTGACATTTTCAGTTTTTAGACCCTTGCATCTCCACCCCAACCACCTCTTCCTCCCATGTATCTAGGGTGGAAATCCCTCCTTCGATCATAGGTATATCACACTCCTGATTCGCTCCTTCCTCCATTATACTCTTTCGTGCCCCTTACACTATCTCTCCTCCAATTTTTGACACATCCCCTCCATTGGAAGTATCCACTCCCCCTACTCTCGGAGTCCTAGGGAGAAGCTCTTGTAGGTAGCTGATGTCTTCCTCGTTATCTTCTCGCACGATCTCCTTCCCTTTTGTCCTAGGTAAGGATTCTCTGATCAACCATTGGTTAGGATCTGCAACTAGAGCAGTCGGCACGACCTTGGATTGCATCTCCACGAGTTTTCTCATTATTTCCCGTACTTCTCCTATGCTCATGAATCCATCCTCCATTCAACTTTCAATGGAAGAAAGCCTCCTCTCCATAGTGGAGAACCTTTCTTCCATTCTCAATCTGATTTGCCCAACCTCTTCTTCTAGCACATGCACTTTCTTTGTTGTCATCCCACCAAGATCTAAACTCTGTATATCGATTTGATACGCTCCCGGACCAAAATTAGTGAGCAAACCACAATATCGATTTAATACGCTCCCGGACCAAAATTAGTGAGCAAACCACAATGAAACGGGAAGAGAGAGATGGAAAAACTCAAACGAGGGCTGCTCTTATAAAAAACATATGCAAATAAATAAAACACAACAGTGATCTACTTTTTGAGAGGTGAATCGGTTCTCCCACAACCAGTCGCTAAGAACACCAAAAGAAAAAAAGACAGCAGCAACCAAATACATGCATGAAAGAAAACAAACCCTACGTTCCCTCATTAATAGAATCCTCAAAAACCTTTTGAAAACTTTTCTTTCTCACTTTCCCTCCAAACCTCCTTTAATTTCTTCTCAATGAGTGTGTTATGGCACTTGTGGACCCCACCCCTCTTTCCTTCTTCTACAACACGTCTGGACCACTCTACCTCTTCACGTGGCAAACACCAGCCCGTCTGTGGGCTAGCTAGGTTGCATTCAACAGGTCCATCTTGGACCGGCACATGTGTGGGCATAACACAAACTTTAAAATCATTGGTACATATCACCTAAGCTATCAAATCAACCTCTTACCTAAGAAAATTTAGCATGGCCAGCATAAGAGGGTATCCAATTTATCACATGAAACAATCTTTCAAGTTATATGATGAAAGAGTACAACATTAACTACCATTATATGCAAGCTTCAATGGCGCAATGCTACTCAATTAATGAGTAAATGGTCTAACGGTGCCACACATTAGTTTCAAGTTGGACTTTTTTAAGGCATTTAAATATATACCACCTAATCCTAATGTATTTACATATTTAACTCCTAAACTTTACTTTTTCATTAATAACACCCAAATCTTACATATCACACCAAAACTACCACTATTTTAACCTCTAAAAGTGAAATACGCCTTTTCATGTGTGGGTAAAGTGGCATATAAGTAAAATTGAAGCTTAGGTGTTGGATATTGAAATAAAAAGGAATTGAGTTATATGTATGTAAATCTTCCTTTTTCTAAGGGAAGAGTTTGGTGTTCATGAATTTCTTAATCAAATAGTCAACACAGTGATGATGAGTGTACTGAGAGGATTCAAACACAAGACACGCTTAACATGATGAGACTCGGGATTTGATCAAATTAATCAAAGAAATATTGAATCTTATTTTGACACCACTGTCGGTCAACTTTTCGATGGATTTAAGAAAATATGATTTTCGAAAATTTAATTTAAATATAAGGTATATAATTTAGATTATGAAAGTAGTGTTTTAAATTTTTAGAAAATGAGACCGAATGGATCTCATTAATCTAAGAGTTTGTATAATCGTGTTTGGTACCTTGAATACTACACATTCTGATAGATAAATATAAACCCCGGCGGTAGACCCAATCCTGCAAATTAAGAGATTTGTGACATCCTTTTGGTCTGCGAATTTTTTATGTGTGACCGACAAGTTTCCCTATTTAATATAAAGATTAAATAGAGTTTATTTTACCTGGGTTCCAAGTTCCCTATAGCGGCAAGCCCCTATAGTTAATTACATCTCAAATGACTGGGGTCACTTGAGAAAACTCTAAACACAAGACATGCTTAACATGATGAGACTCAGGATTTGATCAAATTAATCAAAGA